AAAAAAAAAAACCTGATGGCTTGTGTGAGGGAGTCAAGAAGGAGTGGGCTATTGTACAGGATGCTTTCACTGTCACTAAAAGAATCACTGCTATCTATTGGCTCCACAGAATCTTTTTCTTTTTGTGCCACTTTACCAAGGAATCTGTCCAGTGACACTTGCTTTTGCCTCTTTTTGAGGATTTTGCAGAAATGAGACACTGCATTGTCATTAAACAGATTCATCGCTCATGTCAGTGGCATAGCTGAATTTTACAACTCACTGTTACAGCCAAGTGCCCCAGCTGTGAGGCACTGCTGAGCTTTACAGCTCAGTGTGGCAGCTCTGGAACACAGTTCTCATAATTTGAAGATTTGCGAATCTGCTGGTAAGTGGAAGAGGTGGGAAACAGCCTTTGTTCACTGGCAAGTCCAGTGGGCTCAGAGGATTCTGAGCACTCTACCAGAAATGAGAGCCTCCCTATATAGGGACCTGCAGGGTATTTAAGCGTGCTCAATTAAGCGGGGCTGTGGTGGAGGGTGGAGTTCAAGAACTTTCTGGAAGCAGAGAGGCCGAGTCACAGAATGTTCCTGGGTGGGTGGGGGGAGCTTAACAGAACCTTCTTGTGAGGGGACAGAGTTTAACAGAACTACCTGAAAAGTCACAAAGTTCAAACAGCCACAAACCATTTTGACACATTGGGTAGGAGCCCAGCAGCACAAAGTTACATTTCCAAAACAAAACATTCTGTGGGAGAAGAAAATGGAGGCAAGGCCAGGGCCTGTGTGATTGTATAGCACTTCTCTATCAATTGTCTTTGGGGAAAACTGATTATGATGGGTATCTTCCTGTCAGCCTCATGGGCATTAATGTGCCATGACATGTTTCCTAAACAGAGCATTACATTACTCTAAAGTCAACGAAGTTGTAGCATCACTTTGAAACCAGCAAGAATTTAAAGCAAAAGGAACTGGATATGTTGAGTATAGACACCATGAGAGCTCTAAAACAAAAGGTATAACAGAAAGGAAAAGGATTTTGGAGCAGCCTATGGATTGATTTTCATTTCTAAACACTTGTGCTTCAATCTCCATAACCTACACAAGCAAGAAATTTTGTAACCTTTTCTATTACAAAGAAAGGTCCTAATGGTCACGAGTGAGGTGGCCCTGGTGGGTGTGGCCAGCTCTGCCTTGGCCCGTTGGTTCTGAGACATTACAGGAGTCTGTGTGAGGTCACGGCAGTTAGCTATATAAGGCCGTGGCTCTGGTGGGTCTGTTGTGGGTGGATGGAGATTGTTGTTGGAGATTTGGTGATTGATTTGGTGCTATGGGGAGTGTAGGATGTCGTTACACTGTGCCAAGCAGTGTTCATGGTGAGTGCAGTGAGGGAACATCCTGGCTGGGCCTCACAACCAGCTCCCACGGACACAGACTCCAGGAACACTATGATGTGCTGGGCCTCATTGACCAAGGCGGCTTTGGCAAGGTGTTTCTGACGCGACATCATGGCTCAAGCATGCAGGTCGCTATGAAGGACTTACCAAAGGCAGGGGTGTGAGCGGCCTACATTGTGTCGGAGGTGGGGATCCTGAAGGACCTTCAGCACCCTAACATCACACAGTTACTGGAGGTCATCGAAACTAAGGACAAAGTACACCTGGTCCTAGACTATGTGATGGGGGTCAATCTGCGGCAAGAGATCTTCAGGAGTGAAAAGCACAGGCTGTGGGAGAAGGAAGCCCAGAGGGTTTTCTGAGACATCTTGGGAGTGGTGGTTTACTGCCACGATTGGGGCATTGTACATGGGGGACCTCAAGCTCAAAAATGTCATGATCAACACCCAAGGCCATGCTAAAGTTTGCGACTTTGGGTTGGGGTTCCAGTTCCTCCCTGGGCTGGAGGTGACTGTGGTTGGTGGCACAGTGGCATACTGTGCCCCAGAAACAATCTCGTGCCAGAGGTATGAAGGCCCTCCCTTGGATGTGTGGGCCCTCAGAGTGATACTATATAAGGTGGTTACTGGGTATCGTCTCTTTTATGGGGATAAATCCCAGATAATTGAAAATATCCCTCATGGGACGGTCTCTCACCCCAACTTCATCTCCAAGAATGCCAAACACCTCATCGGCAAATTGCTGAACCACGATACGGCCAACAGTACAGAAGGTGCTGAAGCACCGGTGGCTCCAGAGTGTCCAGCCCCCAGTCCTCCTGAGCCGCTCCCTGTGCCCACAAAGAGGGCAATCCTCAGCCATATGGCCAGGATGGGATTTGACCTGTTAACGGTGATGGACACCCTGAGGAGAAAGGAATACAATCATGAGATGGCAACCTTCCTGTTGTTGCAGAGCCCGGCCCTCCAGGGTCTGGGCTTCAGTAACCCAGTGAAACCTGTGCGTGAGGCTGCAGAGAAAACATCATGGCCCCTGGCAGGTCCTGCACCCTTATCTCACATTCCCAGGAGGAGGGCCAGCGAGCCTGCCCCTGCACTGGCCGCTTAGTCCCCGGAATGAAGGCTGGAGGAGAGCAGGGTGACAGAGGCTCCGAGCCACCCATGACATTCCAGAGGACCCCAACTCCCACTGTATCCTTCCAGCCTGGCCCTGCCGCGCCCAGCCTGTCTCTCCAGCCTAACACTGCCGCGCCCAGCATGTCCTGCCAGCCAGGCCTTGGAGCTCCCTGCTCTAGCTCCAGAATCACCTCTGCCCCTGCCAACAGTAGACAGCGATGCTGGAACCCTCTGAAGAGGAGCATCACAGGCTGCCTACGGGTGCTGTGTTGCTGCTGCCTGCCACCCTCAGGGCACCGCCGACACAAGGTGGCCCCAATGTAAGTGGCACCCAGCAGAAACCCAGACAGCCCTCAACCCTCAAGGAGGCCGGGTGGTCCGGGTGCTTTCTGACTGAGCTGTATCCTGATGATGTCACCTTTAATCATCAGAGTAGAACTCAAGTGAGGAGGAGAGGGGAGAGGGATGGAGGAGTTGTGGCCAGAGGGAAGAGTCTCAGATGGACATGAGGACTTGCTGTTGGGTCTCCTGTAGCGTAGGGTGGTGGTGACCACAGCTAATAATGCCTGGTATATTTTCACACGAGTGTCCATTTCATATGTATCCTTGTCATTTTAGTACAGAGCCATGAGAAGCAACTCCATAGATGTGGACATCCTACCCATGGCAGACCAGCCACATGGGAGGAAGCCATGGTGAGTCACCCTGCAGCCCTGTCTAGGGAGCTAGAGGGAAAGGGTGTAAGGGACACCTGTGTTTCCTGTGGGAGTGAGGGAGGAGGGTGCACAGCACAGAAGGCTGTGCTTGAGTCAAGAGCTAGGATTTAGTGGGAGGAAGATGGAGGAGCATCAGGAGGGGGATGTCTCCCTGACTTGTGTGCCATTGCCGGAGGGAGGCTCCCCTAAGACCAGGGAGTGCCCAGCACCTTGGAGCCCTCAGACCACAGCCTCCTGACTGGGTGCAGGTAGATGTGGGGGCTGGATGAGGGTGGGGTTAGTTGAGCAGAGCCATGACTTTATCCCACAGTCCTCCATGGTAAGGAGCTTCTTTCTGCTCACCTCCTCGCATGTCCTTGTGTGAGGGTTTCCACCAATGAGACACAGAGTAGTTGCTGGAAGGACGGTGAGCCCAGGTGAAGAGAGGCAGCCCTGCCTGTTCTGAGGACTGGGTCACTGCTGTTCCCCTGGCCACCGTGTAGAAGCCTAGACTCGGCCACGCTGTGAGCAGCCCAGGAGTATGCAGAGGCCACACTGATCCTCCACCCGCTGATTGCACAGCAGGAGCCACCCGAGCCCAGTCACCAGAGGTGTGTGGCGGCATCTCTACATCATCCCAGTGCCAGCCGCAGAGCATCCTGGCCCAGAAGTCAGTACAGCTGAGTCCTGAGGACCAGGGCCATGCCTCAGCCCAAGTGGGCCTGGCCTAGGCCCTGAGCCCCATAGCTAACATCTCTGTGGCCTCCCTGCCTCCTCCTCGGTTATTCAGGACGCATTTGGCCCCAGCCCAAGGCAGTCTGCTTCCAGATGTCTCACAGACTCAGCCTGTCTTTTCCCCATGCACCATCAGCACTGTAGAGCAGATCAGTTCATGGCACAGATGTTGGGGCCACTCAGGGCCAAGGACAGAGGTGTGGGCACTGCAGACACCAGAGGTGCGGGGCCAATGCGCAGGGCTTCTGTGGGTGAGAGCAGGAGGGGGATTCAGGAGCAGAACACGGAGACAGTCAAGGGATCAAATGAGCCAGCCTCTGCCCCAGAGCCACTGGCTGAGGACTGATTCAGTGACAGCACCCAGGGACAGTGCTGCCGTGTGGCCAGCACAGTCAGCAGAGCTTCAGCATAGTGACCCATGTGATTCTCTGAGGGTGCTTGGTGCCCAGTGCTGCTCCTCCTCTTCCTGCTGTCAGGATCACTGGGATTTGATAGAGGAGGAGCACGACTCATGGAGGGCTGAAGTGAAGTCCCAGATTTGCACAGGGAGAAGAGGGCAGGGCTTGGATTCAAGTCTGGAACTTCCCAGCTCTCGGTCATACTGTCATCTAGGGAGGAAGACAAGAAAAACGACAGCATTGGCACCAAGGTGGTGGTGTGACTAGCTTTCCAGGCTGTGGCAGGACACCTGAGATTCATCAGCAGAGGTTTCAGTCCAGGGTCACTGTGGGCTTGGGGCAGCGCAGCACATCATGGCAGGAGTGTTAGAGGAGGAGACCCCTCACCTCATAGCACTTTTACTATAGTAGGTCGCCAAAACCCTTTTGTCCGAGGAGCTGGCACTAATGTGCCAGATTTCACCCACTTGGTGGAGGAGGATGTTCTTATTTATAATGTTTTCATCATCAAAATCTATGATGTGGCTCTGATTATCATATTTAAGAGACTGCATTCCAACCAAAAACCGGATGGCATCTGTTTCTGCAGTCTGAGGTGTGGGAGCCCATGCCTGGAACTCCAGGCCATAGATCACCAGCACATCATCCTCCATGTTGCTAAGGTGAACAGCCTGCAGCTCAGGTGCTCAGATCCTCTCTAGGACCTGCGCAGCCCACCTGGTGGGCGCTGACACAGTGTCCATTCATTGCCTGCCTATGGCCACAGACTCTGAATTCACTCTCTTTGGCCCAGGCCAGCTTCCATAGGATTCACTTCCTATTTCCTTGTTATCATCATTCTACATATTTAATTTATTGAAAGGTAGCCTATAACACAATCTTTTTTTTTTATTTTTTTGTATTAAGGATCAAACACAGGTCCTTGTGCTTTCAAGGCAGGCAACAGAACCACTGAGCTACATTCCTGGGCCGCTAGATCAGTCTTTAAGAACATACATACTACGGAAATCAGCATTCATCCATAGTATAAATCTGTCCTTCACTTATTAAGACACTGAACAAGAAGTGTCTGCCATTTTTCAAGGTACCCTGCAAACGAATCACTGATAATAAGCATGCAGCTATAGTTTAGCCAGTCTTCAAATGAAAACTCAGTAATGTATTAGCATCACATAAAAGAAATGTATTAAGCCATTTAAAATTGTTGGTGGCATCAGGGATTTCCCACATTTTGTGGTTCCTAGACAAGGCCAGTAGCAGAGCTAGTGAGGTGTGGATGGGCCCAGTTGGGACCCCTGGGAGCCAACAGAATCTACTGTTTCTACATGAGTCATCTTTTGTTTTTCCAGAGACATATCAAGTGTCAGGAGAGTATCTCTAAATATTCAGTCTAGTGAGTAGCATGGAATTTTTACTATGCACATTGAAAACCTGATTTTCAGAAACTGTCCCATTTCCAAATGGTCCGATCTATCTTCAGTTTGACAGAGAGCGTCTATTGACTACAAAGAAAAATGTGATGTGTTACTTGAGATCACTGAAATAAAGAGAAAAGTCCATTGAGCTTGAAATGAGATTTTTTTAAGCTGCATGATCATTAAAATTGTCAATGTTTATTTCCCAAATAAAGAATATTTATGTTTATCTTAAGGTGGTTTTAAATGTAATTAATAGAAAACATTTATTGACAGCCACTAGCTCTTCTAAGTGTTTTCTGTTTAATTCCTAATTTAATGCTCACAACAGCTTTTTGAAATAAATTCTTTTATCATGACTCCCTTACCAATGAAATGGAAGACACAAAAAGGGAAACCAATGTAACCAAAATGTACAGCTACCAAACATCAAAGCTGAACCAATGCAGCCTCAACGATTACTTTGAATGTTCTGTTTTTCCTATCCATGGATGCTTTAAAGGTTACCTATTTTTTATACTTGACTCAAGTTTTTCTGGAACTTCACCACATGCTATTTGCCAGTTTTCCAATCGATGAGTTTCTATATTTAAACCTTATCTTATGTGTACCTCTCACATTAGTTTGAAAAGTTTACTTTTCTAAACAAGTACAAAAGTAGCTATTTTCAGAATTGATTTGACAAGAATTTTTTCCATAAACTAATTTTTGAGAGGATCATGAGACTCTCAAAATTGAATAAAACTAGTAAAGTTCAAATCCATTTGGGTAATACAAAGCTAGGAGAATGCATAAAAGAGAGCGGTTTTGCTTTTCCTCTTTGTGCACCTCAAAAACATCTGAAAAGATTTAACCTTCAAAAAAATGCTCACCTTTGGGCTGAAACCAAGTAAAAGGGACTTCAGTTCCAAAAGAAGCATTCTTTTTTTTTTTTTAATTCTGAATGAATTAGACAAAGCAATTGCCTGGAATTTGGTTGCATACAAGCAACATTTTGTGCCCATGTGTGCTGTAACACTGACTTCCTGCTGTCGGCACTGATAATTATTATTCTATAAAATAAATATTTGCTTCCCAGGCATCTGTAAGACCACCTCAGAATCTTAAATGGACTTTCTATCTTAAAGCAAAGAGGACCACAGTCTCCATTTTCTCTTGATGTATGATTTAATGGGTAAGATATTGGAAAAAGATAATGGAATATTTTCCTATCTGCCAACCCAGCCCAATATCTAGTGGGACCTTAATTATACCCTCCCATGCAATACACTCAATGCCTTTTTTGTGATATATGCCATATTTCCTCTATTTTAAAACTTCATCAGTTGAATAATAGCTTTTGGCTGAGAGAAGGGAAGAAGAAATACTACCATATTATACCATTAAATGAATTCATTGATTATGAAATATGACTAGATACCAGATCCATTAGTTTATGAAAAAAATTAAAATGAAAGCCCTCCAAAGGAGAATTAGAAATTGAAGCTATTCATTTATCTACTCTCACCCACATTCCTACTGCATCTCTAATCGAAACTGCAGCCCTGAAACTCTGGCTCAGTGAAAGCCAAGTTCAGGGGCTTTAAAGCCTGAGTCTGTGTCAAACTCATGAAAAAAGTCATCATGTACAAGTCAAAGTCCTAGAAAACCAGGGTTAGCCAGTATACAGAGAGATGCAAGAGAATGCAGACCATGTGGCTCCTTGAACAATAACAGAAGATTTCTAGGTCTCAGTCTGATTGACTTTTG